AATTGTTTAAACATAATGCCACTGTATTATCAAAAGGAAAGGTGAATTAATGGCATTTGCAAATGTCAGAGATTATCTTAACACGTTTATTACAGTTTCTAAAAGTTGGTCCAGGGCATTCTATTACAATTATTTCCACCAAAATTGGTTATCTGAAGAAATTGCTAATTATCTGCATATGACAGCAGCAGAATACTGTTAACAAGTTGCTTGAAATGTACAGTTTGCGGAAGCCACCTACAGGACAGAGCTGGAAATAGCACAAAATCTATAAAACTTGATCAGACAAGCTCTGTCAGTTTACATAGTTCCATCTTTATGGACCAGATGGCATGCTGTAACATTGCTGGGTTGATTGTTGATTTTTACTATGGCTATTTGTAAAAGTGCTTGACTTGACGATGGTTTATGTTGTTAGCTTTATGTGCATGTTGTTTTCATTCACTTATACATGGGGTAACCTTGTTTATCTTAGGATGGCCATACACAGCCCAGTAAATTTAAGCAATGTGCCGGGGCACAGCTTGTGACGGTCGGGTTGTGCAGAATTTTAAAAAAGTGATTACGATCACTTCCCAATGTCTAGAATAGAGTTTGTTTGTGAGATTAAACTGAGATTCACTAACGATGGTTAAGGTATAGGGTTGGCTATAGGTGGTGGAATATGTACCTTTTAAAGCACGAAATGAAAGATCTAACCATTCTCCTAGTGAGCACAATGCTATTAGAACCATTGGAGATGATTTACTAAAGGCAAATAGGCTGTTCACTTTCACTTAGCTTAGTGAATGTGGCTTCACTTTGCAAAGAATGTCCAATCACGTGCCTAGAGCATTAAAAAACAGTATTTTTGCTTGGAAATTATTGGATGAGAGCTTCACCTCATTCACTAGCTAAGGTAAAATTCCCATGCAAAGTGAACAGCCTAGAGCAGTATCAATGTGTCTTTTTCTTCTGACATAGGCACTAGACATGTGCGATTCATTTCTTTCCGAATCTAAATTCGCACCAAATTTCGTAAATTCGTGGATTTGGAGCATCCAAATTTCCGAAATGTACCATGTCCGAATTTATCCGAAAGCATCCGAATCCGAAATTCCGGATCCGAAAAAAATTGAGAAAAGGATTTTAATGTCCCTTTCACCCCTTCATGACTGAGGCCCTTTTTTCAATTTTTGCACCCATGTTATATTCCACATTTTAGGCCTGAAAATGACGTAAAACCCCCCAACATTATATATTTTCTGAATGCCAAGACCCTATAGAATAAAATGGTGTCCGGCGGGGGGGGGCGGCCCCTTCTTCGGGACGCAGAAGCGATCTGGCGACAGGTAAGTCGCCAGGATCGCTTCTGTTGTAAAGCCGACAGTCGGCTCTACAAGTTTAAACAGAGTCCCGGCGGCAAAAGTCGCCGGGAGTCTGTTTAAACAGCCCCGGTGCTGGCGACGTACACTGTACGTCGTCAGTCACGAAGGGGTTAATAGTGAAGACTAGAGCACAGCAACCAGAAATTTCAACTGTGCCAATTCTGCTATGTACGTGCGTACGAACATTCGTCCGTTCGTGCAAAACCCAAATTTCGGAAATTCAGCCGAATTACGAATCCGATCCGAATTACGAATCCGAAACTCAAAACGAAACACATACAAGACCCAATTTCGGAAATACGAAATAAATAATCTCCTAAACGAAACAATTTTTTTGCGGCTCCATATGTCTAATATGCACCTTTTCTTTTCTTTGATTTCATTATAAGGTTTGTCATACTTAGTCCTTGCAAGTGGTGCACCTTACATCACTTGTAAGGATTTGGCCTTATAGGGCTTCTCAGAAAGCCAATAATAGACTGTACGGACTGTCAGAAGTGCTTGTGATAAGAGGGTAGGGATTTTACCTTATAGGACTTTCTGGGTAGCCTGTAATAAGCACTCCTGAGTGACAGAGGTGCATGTGATCTGAGGGTAAGAATTTGGCTTTATAGGGCTCTGAGAGTCTGTAATGTAGCCTCCTGACTGTTAGAGGTGATTGTGGTGAGTGGCAAAAATTTGACCCTATTGGTCTTCTCTGGAAAACCATAATGTGCTCTCCTGATTATCAAAGCTGCTTGTTATTTCATTCAGAGATTTATTGGAAATTGTCTGTAGAAGGTGGTAGCAATTATTTTCTATAGAGAACAGGTCATAAGTATTTTTCTGCAATTACATCATTCATGCCTGTTCAAACGATGATTGAAGCAGATCCTGGTGGTATGGAGATGTATTAAATTATTGAACGTTGTGCCTCTAATTCTTAGTGAAACATCTATCATCTATTTATATATGACAGGACTTCAACCTTGAGCAGAGATTAGGGGATTATTCACTAAAGAGGCTAAAAATTTTGTAGAACGTTCGGCTAATCCTTCTGCTCACTTTGCCTGCAGCAACTCTCCGGTTCAGCCAAACCGAAGGGCTGCTGTATGCACTATTCTCAATATTGCGTACAGCAGCCAAAGTAAACAGCCCTGGAAAAGCACCTTGTCCCAATGCCATTGAGGACAAGGGCCTCTTCCCCACACCCTTGGCCCAGTAGTTGTGGGGGTCTGCGGGCACAGGGACTCGACTGCGTGCGCCCTTTCATAAAGGGTGCCACCCCCCTTGAATGAGTAAGAAGTAGTTGTTACCCCTATACCCTAAACACCAAAAAGTGATTAAAATAGTAAATCAAAACATGACACCTTGAAAAAGTTGTTTAATTGAACAAAAAAGTATTTTTTTTGACAAGTACTTTATTATTAAAAGAACCCATACAATTGTCCAACGATGCAATCCAAAGGTCAATCATGTCGTCCAGCAATGTAGGTCCTCATCAATCATGCTGAACAATTCTCACCATCTTGGCGAAATAAAAAAAATTCTGCTGGCCACCAACCCATCCGCTACCGACGAACTCCCGCCACAAAATGACAGCTCCGGGCAGAATGTAAACAAATGGGGGGAGCGAGTCGTGACATCATACTGTGCGTCAGCTAGGATTTATTGTATTGTACATTAACACTGAAGGCTTGCTGACAGAAAATGAGAGCAGAGTAAGAAATGTATCATTATGGTGGAAGAAATTAATAGTTTTTTTTCTCGCCTTCCTGCTTAAGGGTATGTTCAAACCTTGACCTTTGAGCTGTGTTTTTCTGCACAACATTGTGTATATGGGGAACAATTTCATGAACATTTTATATGAAGGGCCACAGCTGTGGCTTGAATGATGTTCTGTTTAAATCATAATCCAAAATAAAGGACATGAGGATGTTGTTTTTAGTTGGGTTTGATGCTGATTAATCAGTATATTTATAACTTTTTGGAGACATTTTTGAAAAATGGTATGTTGCACCAGTATCAAGTTTTTATTTTTACTCTCCTGTTTTTGTGATTTACATAAACACTATAATGGGCACCAAATTATTTTTTAATGGTGACCAATGCAATAATATATATTTAAAATACTTGTCTACATGCAAGGGTACTGAATTTAATAGGCTTTTTTTTTACATGGTGGTTTTTGACATGTTTGCTGCACAGCTCTTGCACCTAATTAGGCCAATAAAATCTTAACCCTTGCAGTGGGGCTACACCTGCACTGCAAGTGTTAAGTGCTCATTTTGTCTGGGAAGCTAAAATAACACAGATATACTCACCCAAACCACATTCTGGCTAGTTCCTAGACTGGTCCCTTCAGCCTCGCTCCCCCTCCACTCCAACGGTCTAAGGTCCAACATGCCATTGTTGGAGTAGAAGAGGGAGAGAGGCTGAAGGGATCAGTCTAAAGGTCCGCAGAGTATAACTGTAATTTTAACTCTCTTTAATGTAATTGTAAGTCAAAATAAGCACTTAACCCTTGCAGTGTGGGAGTAGCCCCACGGCAAGGGTTAAGATTTTATTTGCCCAAAGTTCTTCTTTTAAGAACAAACTTTGCTAAGAGGGACTACATGTGCCTGTACATGGCACATAGGGGACAAATGTCACTTAGGAGAGGCTTTGGGCTGCAGCAGTCACTAATTACTAAGCACCTTAATCTGCAGGAGCTAATTGTGGCACATTTTTCTGAAGGCTGACAAAAGATTTTTTAATGAAATATTAGATGTCACATACTGGTTATAAAAATAACTTTAGAAATGAATGTTCCAGCTATTATAGAAACATTGTCAGTCCTAGAAGCTCTTTACAAAGATCTACACATTTCAGTCACACACTTCCTCATATCATCAAAAGTGTACAAAGCAACATTTATTGCTGATCATTTTTAAAATGCACTTTATTAATATATTTTGAGTCTACTGTTTGCACAAAACACTTGTATACCTAATCATTTTTCTTTTTTCCTTTTCTTTTACATCCCTCAGTTCCTTTTTTCTTTTCTTTCCTTCCCACCTCTTTCTTTCTTTGTTTTATTTTACTTTTCTTCTCTCCTGCTCCTTTTTTATTTTCCCGTTCTTTTCTTCCAAGTTTTGCTTTTCCTGTTAGTTTTCATCCTCCCCTTTTATTACCTCTGCTTCCTTCCACTTTTCTTATTCATTTGTTCTTCTCTCTCCTTTTCTTATTCCCTCTCCTCCATTTCCTTTTCTTATTAATTTTCACATACTTCTTTAAATTCATATTTACTATCATAAATATGTACATTGATTGCTGGCGTCACTTTTGAAAATGCACTTTATAAATATATTTTGAGGTTACTAGCTGTACAAAACACATTTACACCTAAATCCTTTTCTTTTTTGTTTTCTTTTTCCTTCCTTGCCTCCCCTTTTTTCCCCCTTTGTTCTGTTCAATTTACTTATCTCTTTCCTTTTCATTCCTTCCCTCCCCTTTTCTTATTTCCTCTCCTTCCTTACCCCCTTCTTTTACTCAACCTCATTTCTTTTTTTACTTTTCCTTTCCTGGTTTCTGCTTTACGTTCTTTTTCATTTTATTCCTATCCCTTTTTTCCTTCTTCTTTAGTTTCATATAGATGTTGTGTTTGTATTTTAGGGAATGCCATCAGACCTATTGCTCTTAGAGCAGTTTCTGTGATTGCCCGTGCTCTTCCTGGGTTTCCTATTCTTGCTACTGGTGGAATTGATTCGGCCGAGAGTGGTTTGCAGTTTCTTCACAGTGGAGCTTCAGTTTTGCAGGTAAAGCAAATGCACTATATTTATTTGGTATGCACATAAAACAAGTTACATATTACAGGTATACATTTTATAACATTTATTTTTATACATTACCCTTTTTAGTGGTAATAAAGGTCTCCAGGAAAAAAATTGAGCTGCTGACCTCTGTCTATAACAATGCACCAAATCATGTTTACTCTGCTAGAGTAAAAGAGGATAAGAGGGTGGGGCAAAGTCTAAGTAGACTGTGATCCTAATCTTTACTGTTCAAGGAAGCCAACTTGTTTTTATGTCAAATCTAAAATATGTATACATAATATAATTGTCTGGACTCACCATATAATTATTTTCTCTGAGCTCACTGAGAGATACAGCCCTTGACAGAAGATCTAACAAAACTAGTGGATTATAGTGCTATCTACAGGAGTAGAATGCTAGATGCAACAAAAAAGCTTCTAGGGGAATGACTACATCACTGGCCTAAACCCACAACTGTCAAAATAGTCAGTTGACAGCAAGCAGCATAAAGAACAAAATAAACAAATTGGCAACAGGTCCAACCACAACTGAAGAGAGGTGGGAGCTGTGTTTTTCAGTAAACTCGGGATAAACATTTTACAACGAGCGCAAATTTTTATATTTTCTCTATCATTCCCTGAGAGGCAAAGCCCTTGATAGAATAAAACAAAACCAGTGGGATGTCCACAAGCAGTACCCACCCAAGTAGGGTGGGCAAAATACCCCAGCAAGAATAAACAGGTTGAACCCATGCCGAATTAGGTGATTCACACTGCCACCTCTAGCATCCACTGATGCAGCCCCATAATTGTACAGTTTTGGACCGAAGACTAGGTTGTAGCCTTATAGACCTTAGACACTGAAACCTAATGATGAAAAGCCCAAAAAGTTCTGACTGGTATGCAGTGATGTATTTTGGTTTTGTGCTGCCCTAGGCAAGACTAAACCTGAGCATCCACACACCCCCATCCCTAATCTAAATTAGTCCCACCCCTTCCTGTTTAAAACATTTTGCATAACCTGTCAGTCGCAGTATACACCGCACACGGTGTATCTAGATTCCGACAGTTTGTGCTATCAACGTAGCAGGGCGCTCTAGTTCTACCTTTGCAATAGCCACCTTCTCCATTTCTGGCTTGATGGGCTCCCTAGTTCTGCAGCTACAATACCCATTCTCTCCTGCCCTGCCCCACTGTGCTAGTGTCTACTTCTGCAGCTGCAACACCGATCTTCCTTAATATGCTGGGCCCTCTAATTCTGCAGTTACCCATCTTCTGCCTTGGCCGCTGGGCTCTATAGATTGCCCCGCTCTAGAGACATAACCCTGCATGGAGCTTATAGGCTGCACATCCCCGGACTCACCACCACGGAGGTGCCGATGAGAACGATGACATCTGGATCTCAGCCCTGGGGTCCTATGGTAGCTCCTCCGCTGCCTGAAGTCAGATATTTGGGTGCTGGTTTCCCAGTGAGGTCCGGTGCACGAACTGCCAGTGCATCCAGACAAAAGTCACACACACCAATACATTGCACAGCATGTTGACCAAGAAGAGGAAGGAGCTGCAGCCAACATATATGTTGGAGTAGGCGGCATAGGTGGACACGTTGGTCCCCCAGGCAAAGAAGCACCAGGTCCAGGAGTACTGGCAGTAATTTATGAATAATTTATAATATAATTTATTTTTTTCCTCTTACCTAAATGGTTTGGGGGAAGCATTTTTTCGTGCCCCCCTGGAAAGTGCTGCCCTAGGCAAATGTCTAGTTTGCCTTGCAGTAGATACACCCCTGTTGGTATGTTCGAATGAGCAGTAACTGGAAAGGCAGCTCTTTACACTATATTATATAAGCCTGTGATATGGTCTGTTGAATCCACCAAGGATGGTAGAAGAAGAAGCTGTGAGTCTCCTACAAGGACCATCATTTATGAAAAATAGAGAGTCTGTCTTTCTAAAATATGAAGTGGCCTGCTGGTAAACTGTAATGGCCCTAACTACATCCATGGTGTGCAATTCCAACTTAGATGCACTGGTGTCGGATAAGGTGAAGGAAGGATAATTTCTTAGTTGAAGTGAAAAGCTGCAACCAGAAAAGTGAGTTTTGGTCTCAAAACCACTTGTCCTTGTAAACCATTAAGATCAAGGGTTTACAAGACAGAAATACTAACTCCAACTCCTAGTTGAAGGTATGGTTACCAAAAAAGACCTTTAAGAGTTTGAGTTTCCTTTGCTTAGAGATCAGCAAGGGAATCTCATATTGTATCTAATATTCTCAAATTATGGTTTCTATAAAACCACAAGGACCAGATTAAGGTCTTGTAAGCCATCAGAGGTTGAACAGGAGGGGCCACAAGTCACCCTCCCTCCCACCATTCCTGCATATAAAGTATTGAAGTTCCCCACATAGTTGTTAAAAGACTTCGGGGTAGATAGACCATTATTTCTGATTCATGCTTTAACATCTCAGATAGCCTGCCTGCTAATTGTCAATGCTTGAAATTTAGACAGCGGAAGAGTCAGAATGTATCTTTTCACCCTGCGCAGCAGGTAGTTTACTTCAAGCATTTCCACTTGTAGCTCGAGAAAATTGGAACATGCAAGTATGCATCCTGTATAGCTATTGATGCTAAGAAGCCCCTTGATATATGGACTCTAAAAAGTAGTGAATTGACTCCATTCTGAACTTTCTGAATGATAAGGGGAAAACTTGGCCCATGTCTCTGCTTATGAGAACCATAGGTGACTGTAGATTTGGAGGTGGTGGGTGACAAATTATCCAAAATTAGTGTTTCACATACAGTGCAAACTAAGATAGAAACAACTCAAAGTAAGGTTTATGTGAAATACTACTACTACTCCACCTCATGTTGGAATCCAAGGAATCCACCTCCAATACCTCTGTTAACTTCACTCCTGGGGTATATAAAAACTCCCTAATAGATAGATCTGAAGGGAGAAATAGATAGCCCCTTTTTGGTCCTGCATTTAGGACAAGATAGAGCCTGAACAACATAAAGAGACAAAATCCTCCATAGTGGAGTTAAGGAATTAAACTGGAGGAGTGTCCAATACCTGAGGGGGGCTTCAGAGGAGGGTGCTGAGGCAGACAGTTCAGAGACCACCAGGCAGGAACCATAGAGGAAGAGAGGAGTTTTGGCCAATGGTAAAATACCCACCAAAAAAAACACCCTCAAACCAATAATATTGGGCCGGTCAGGTTGCAAACCCACTCATTGTAAGGGTCCTCTCCAGGTTGGATCTAGCATCCTACTCCTATAGATAGCACTATAACCACTGGCTCTGTTTGGTCTTTTATCAAGGGTGCGCCTCACAGTAAATGACAGAGAAATATACATCATGACAAACTATATCTATATTAGCTATTAGATCAATACACTAAATGCTTTCACAGTCGCCTATCTACACTAAGGGTGTGGGGCAAAAGTTTGATAATGGGTTTGTTTGCTTCTGGGCCACAATTGCAGCTATTCGCTAGTATGACAGTATGTTTTTCACTGATCTGCACTATTTTTTAACCTTAAAATGTAAAAGTGCTTCCTAAGAGCAGACATTACAAATGTCTGATATTACATTTATTAGCCAGAAAGGCTTATGTGTACCTCTCTGATTTTGTTTCAGTTTGTTACTGTAGCTTGACTGTTCCTAATTTTTTTAAAGCGTCACGCTAAAATATAGAGGTGCAAACTGTGTTTTCAATCTAGAAAATTTTAAGCTAGAAAACTGTGATTATTTGCTATTATTTTTCTCCTGATAAAATGGCACTGAAGTGTCTTCACATTTACACAGGAAAGAGTGATGTGTTGTTCCAAAAACACAAAAGTGGTCCTGTATACCACAGTGCAGCCTTTATTTTTAGTTTTGGTTAAAGCAATGGAAAGGTAGAACTACCTATTTGTTTTTGTTTTTTGCTGTATATGTCACTGATAGGGAGATTCAATATTTGTTCTGGTGACCACTGCCTTTTGACTTCAAGTTAAGTCTAAAATGATGTATTGTCACCAGAACATAAACAGAGGGTAAACCTTCCAATGGAACTTGTTTGGGGGATTTGAGCTTTGGAGAGATTTTTTGTCACATCCTCTTAGCTAGCTTTATAAATACAGACTAAATTATTATTTTCTTTAACATAAGATTATTATTCAAATTTTATATAAAACATCATATAACAAAAAACATATGGTGCTGCGCACAGTTAGATGAGAAAAAGCTATTACAACAAATGTAAATTCTACAAAAAAAATATTATTAATGTATATACATATATCTCAATAGTTTTACCATTTAGGAGGCATTTCATTTTTTTGTTTTGAAAGCCTAAAGCAGGGATGGCCAAACTCTGGCCCTCCAGCTGTGGTGAAACTACAAATCACATGAAGCATCTCTCTCCGGGAGTCATGTCTGTGGCTGTGAGAATCTTGCAAAGCCTCATGGGATTCATAGTTCCACCACAGCTGGAGGGCCGCAGTTTGGCCATCCCTGGCCTAAAGCTTCAAAATCATGTTAACCTAAATTTAAGAGAGAACCTGGCAGGAATGATACAAAGATAGGGAAAATGGGCACTGAGCACTCCAACTATTACTATGGTGATAGAAATTTATTTTAAAATAGTTATCATCCAAGTCTACAACCCAATGTATTCTACAGTATACACAAGAGCAGTACATATTTTGTGATTTGTTAATTACATACTTTTACTAAAACTTTTAAACATCCCAACTAATATTATGTGCTAATATAGTGTACATCTTATCCGCATATTCTTGTGACCTCTGTAATCACTCAGGTCCCACTAAACACATGCCCAAAAGCACTGAAACACCCATCAGCAGGAGCTAAATGTTTCATGATTATAATTACAGCTTTCCTAGGTTGTTGCACTGTGTGGGAGCTTAATACATACCTCTGGAGCTTATAATGAAGCAACGAATGCTGATTTTCATAGGTTTTAATGTGACATGCAATGTATACAGTGAATATTTAAACAGG